AAGAAACGCAAATAAAAAAACAAGAAACGCAACGACAAAGAAGACTGGGGTCTAGTTCTTAGTTTCCCGCCAAAACCTTAATTTATGCCAATTTATGTTGACTCAGAGCACCGCGAGTCTTCGAACAAATAATGGACGAAAGTGGTTTGCGAAGTATTATAGAAGATTATTTTCATCTAGGGTATGAAAATAGAGTTATCATCGACTTTTTAAGCAAGCAGCACGGTATTGTCTTGAGTTTGACAACTCTAAAACGACGGCTAAACCAATATGGCCTACGAAGGAGAGGAACATCTGTTGACGATCAACAACTAAGAAATTTAATTCAACAAATAACTTCAGGTCCCGGGGAGCTTCAAGGATATAGATCTGTATGGCATTCACTACGACTGGAACATCATGTACATGTCTCAAGACAACGTGTTGCAGAAATTGTGAGAGAGGTGAATCCTCAAGGAACCCAACAAAGAAGAAGACGACGGCTGACAAGKCGAAGATATTCAAGTTGTGGACCCAATTTTTGCTGGCATATAGACGGTATAGTCGCTGGTTGTGTCTAATAATGCATGTTTTAAAATCTATATTAATTTAGTATTTCCTTTTGAAGGGTATGATAAGCTAAAGCCGTTTGGGTTCCCAATACACGGAGCAATAGATGGTTACAGTCGCAAAGTGCTGYGGCTTAAAATGGCTAGGTCTAATAATAAACCAGAAGTCATTGGTAGTTTTTTCATTGATTATGTCAGAGAATGCTCTGGATGTCCTATTCTAGTACGGACAGACTGTGGCACAGAGAATGGAATCGTTGCTGCTATGCAATCATATTTCAGACAAGAAAGCACTGATGAATTTGCTGGTGAAAAATCACATAGATATGGCACATCACCTGCAAATCAAAGAATTGAATGTTGGTGGTCATCTCTGAGACGAGGAAGGACATCTTGGTGGATTGATCATTTCAAAAGCATGGTAAACAGTGGATTATTGGATACTGACAATGAAGTACACAAGGAATGCCTGTGGTTTTGCTATCAACAGATACTTCAAGCAGAATTGGATAGAGTGAAACATCACTGGAACACTCACCGAATACGCCCATCAAGGTATGGCACTATACCTGGAGTTCCAAATGTACTTTACCACTTACCTCATCGTTCTAATGGTATTGAATGCAAGATAACCATCCCAGCTGACAAGATAAATGCTATGCAGATATATGCACAAAATGATGACGACGATGATGATGACAATGATGATTCAGCTTTGTACCAAGAGTATTTTGCTTATGTTATGCAAAATGAGATGCTTCAGTATCCAAACACTCCTGATGAAGCATTTGACCTCTTTAAAACCTTAGTAGTTATTACAAACAGGTAAAATGAACCCTACTGTACAATTAAGCAGACTTTGATTGGAGACACTGATATTAAATATGTATCAAAACTTTATTTAACCATGCAAGAACTGGAACAGTAACAATACAAACTATAATAATCTCAAGTTGTAACATTCTTTCAACTACTAACAGTACTTTATATACTTATATACTTTTATACATGTATATAAAAACTTTATTTAACCAAGAATAGTAACAGTACAAACTATCTCAAGTTGTAGCATTCTTTCAACTACAGTACAGTCGAACCTCGATTATCCGGACCTCGATTATCCGGATTTTTTGATTATCCGGAGGAGTCCGGATAATCGAGGTTTGACTGTACTTTAATACTTATATATTTGTCTAGGCATTCCCAAACCCTGGGGAATTCAGCATACAGAATAAAAATTCTTCTTTAAATGTACCAAAACTTAAGAAATGGTCTTTCACTGGAATGTACAACACATTTGAACAAGTGCTAACATACATCTTTCTATTTCCTTCATGTATGAAAACAATAGAAGGTCGGGGGTGTAAACCTAGTGGTGGGATACTCCTGGCCCCAGTTATAAATGCTAAAACAGCCTCAAGCGAAATATTTACTGTAACATTCGACTCAGTATTGCAATCATAAACCTCACTTTTGACAAGACCTTGTTCTATATCCTCCAAGAACTGRTTCCAATAAAAAAGAATGGTCTTTTCTTTTGCATTTTTGTTGCTTCCTTCAGGAGATAAATGTGCAGAAAAGAGGCCATCTAGTAATTCAGCTGTTAAAGTAGTAGCAGAAAATTGTAATATGTCCCTGGCCTCAAAAGGATGATTCCTTAGGACAGTTAACACCCCAGTCACATTCATCCCATCAATAAATTGATTGATTTCACAAAGACAGTGTGAAATGGTATAATGGATTATTGTAGCTCTTAAGAACTCATTTTTATCAGAAAATACTACTGGTTTTGTATAGCCCWTATTTTGAAGTGATTCACCGAAATAGGACATTGCTTTCTCTTCAAACAACTGTGGTTCTTCTAAACTATCTAGTTCTTTCAGTTTTTCCTTAACAGGCTGATTGGGAATACTATCAATAGAACACTTGACATACTTAACATCACCATGTAATATGTAGTCAACAACTGGGGGACAGAAAAACTGAGGGCCCATACTACCATTAAGAACTGCTAAACCGCAACACAAACCATATTTATAGTACTCATTTTGCTGAAGTGCAACTAAATTATGAGCAAAGACTTTACCACTACCTTCTTCTCCAACAAATAATGATGAARAACTTACTTCCTTATGGATAAGAGAAAAAAATTCTCTTTTTGGACCCCCTTGATCCACCCCTGCCTCCCCTACAAACTGAACTTTTACATAACTGTTTTCTTCAATATCGTCCTTCTTTATTCGGTCACACTTGAACTTTACATCTTGCCACAGAGAGTTTCTCCTCACTTTAAACCTTATGTAGGATGTTTCTTCCAATTCTCTTGCTTTAGTTTCACAAAATGTTTCAAGGTCCTCTGATAATGTGGTACTGGTTGCTGTTGCTGTTGTTTCAGTCTCTGCATGACTGAAACCCTGAGTTTCTTCTGGGACTGAATCATCTGAATCATAAAGTATCTCTCCATACTGTCTATGAAGATACATATAGTCGAGGTTGGTCGATGACTGGGMTTGGTTGAAAGTGGATGAACTTGATGTGGCTTTGACAGATGAACTACCAGCATCAGTTGATGAGTTCACGATCTTAAACAAAACAAAGTAGTATTTATTAAATTATGTAGTATCACTATCATGTTTATGTTTGTTTTATATTCATTAAACTCCTAAAGGTCTCCTAAGTTTGTTAAGTCCAACCCCCCCCCCCCACCACCTTATAAAAATGCCTTCCTATNTTTACTGTAACATTCGACTCAGTATTGCAATCATAAACCTCACTTTTGACAAGACCTTGTTCTATATCCTCCAAGAACTGGTTCCAATAAAAAAGAATGGTCTTTTCTTTTGCATTTTTGTTGCTTCCTTCAGGAGATAAATGTGCAGAAAAGAGGCCATCTAGTAATTCAGCTGTTAAAGTAGTAGCAGAAAATTGTAATATGTCCCTGGCCTCAAAAGGATGATTCCTTAGGACAGTTAACACCCCAGTCACATTCATCCCATCAATAAATTGATTGATTTCACAAAGACAGTGTGAAATGGTATAATGGATTATTGTAGCTCTTAAGAACTCATTTTTATCAGAAAATACTACTGGTTTTGTATAGCCCWTATTTTGAAGTGATTCACCGAAATAGGACATTGCTTTCTCTTCAAACAACTGTGGTTCTTCTAAACTATCTAGTTCTTTCAGTTTTTCCTTAACAGGCTGATTGGGAATACTATCAATAGAACACTTGACATACTTAACATCACCATGTAATATGTAGTCAACAACTGGGGGACAGAAAAACTGAGGGCCCATACTACCATTAAGAACTGCTAAACCGCAACACAAACCATATTTATAGTACTCATTTTGCTGAAGTGCAACTAAATTATGAGCAAAGACTTTACCACTACCTTCTTCTCCAACAAATAATGATGAARAACTTACTTCCTTATGGATAAGAGAAAAAAATTCTCTTTTTGGACCCCCTTGATCCACCCCTGCCTCCMCTACAAACTGAACTTTTACATAACTGTTTTCTTCAATATCGTCCTTCTTTATTCGGTCACACTTGAACTTTACATCTTGCCACAGAGAGTTTCTCCTCACTTTAAACCTTATGTAGGATGTTTCTTCCAATTCTCTTGCTTTAGTTTCACAAAATGTTTCAAGGTCCTCTGATAATGTGGTACTGGTTGCTGTTGCTGTTGTTTCAGTCTCTGCATGACTGAAACCCTGAGTTTCTTCTGGGACTGAATCATCTGAATCATAAAGTATCTCTCCATACTGTCTATGAAGATACATATAGTCGAGGTTGGTCGATGACTGGGMTTGGTTGAAAGTGGATGAACTTGATGTGGCTTTGACAGATGAACTACCAGCATCAGTTGATGAGTTCACGATCTTAAACAAAACAAAGTAGTATTTATTAAATTATGTAGTATCACTATCATGTTTATGTTTGTTTTATATTCATTAAACTCCTAAAGGTCTCCTAAGTTTGTTAAGTCCAACCCCCCCCCCCCACCACCTTATAAAAATGCCTTCCTATAAAAATGATTCTCAAACTCATTAATTATTCATGAGGTATCTAGCCAATCTGCAATCACAATTTGTACCACGAGCAGTGACTGGAAACCCAGTCTAGTTCTCATTGCCATCCATTTTACCGTGTTCTAGATACTCCTAACCGTGTTCCAGTTACGACTAATTAACTTCTTATTACTTGAAATTCCAGACTTTTGAAATTCGACTTGGAAATATATCCGAAACATATAACTTGTGTACCATATGCTGAAAAAAATAACTATTATAAATGCCATTCCTGAGAATCGAACYCGGAACCCTTCGCACTGTGGCCATCGCATTAAACCACTGAACTACTGATAATCCAATGAGAATAGACGGAAGATAAAATGACTTTAAGCATTAACAAAGAGTTCATTAGCTATGAAATGAATTATTAGCAAACACGGAATTTGAAAAGCATTTGTTTCAAATGTCCCATAGGGTATAAGAGAACAATACAATATTAAACAATGCAAACAAATGTATAAATTTCATTAAAATATGTTCTAACCTCACATGCGTTGCCTTGTGTTGAACTGCTCCTATTCGAGGTGCTTGGAATGGAGGCACTCACAGTTGAAGTAAAAACTTTCTGGCAGGTAGGGCATTTTGCCTCTGAGTTACAATTAACTAACCATTCCTTGAGGCATGTATCATGAAAAAAATCCTCACACTTGTTTGGTTTAGCTGCAATCTCCCCCATAGCAATTTCCTCCAAGCAGATTGGACATGACTTAGTGGATTCACTTTTATTGGCACTGGGCTTGCAACCCTGTAAAAGAATGATACATTATTGTCTGTTATGGTTTTGCTTAGAACAGTATAGTATTTGGAAAAGTCAGAGGAATTGCCCACCCCTAAAAAGGAGGATCACTCGAATTTGTACTACTTGAGAGGGGATCACTAAAATATTAAATAATTCTAGTGTTGATTCAACCAAATTTCACCTTATTTTAATAAAATAACTGGACCCCCCCCC